AGGGATGTGGCACACTCAGGGGAGGAGGCGGAGAAGAGGCGGGGCGGGGACTTGGGGGAAGGGGGTGAAATGGGGGCGGGGCAATGGCTGTGCGGGCGCGGAGTCGAGCACCCACCAGGCAGAGGGGAAGTCAGCACCTGTGGTGGGAGGGGGGAGTGGGCAAGCACTCCTGGTGAGGATACCCACCATCAGCAGAAGGAGGGTAGCGTGGACATGAAAAACCACAGTAATTATTGTGGTGGCTGCATGTCGTCCTAACATAGGTCAACTTAATTTGTAGTGTAGAAAAGGTCTCACATTGTGATAGAAATGTCAACAGTTAAAGGGACACCGTCACCGTGAAATCTAGTCCATTTCAAAAACTGAGCTCTGAGGTTTGAGGTCCTGCTCCCACTGAAGTGGATAATAGGAGCGGTTGAGTGGTTAGCACTTTTGAAATCTGGCCATTTATTCAGATGCCTAAATGTGGATTAGGAGGTGAACTTTAGGTGCCCATTTTCCAAAATCTTAGCCAAACTGAAAAAAAGCCTTTTCTCCTTTGCATCATTTCTAGGCATCTTGGGCATTACTTGTGACCACAATAAATAAAAACTTTCAAAGTGATTTTTCAGTTGATGTCCCTTAAAAAAGATTAGAGAAACCCTAGAAAATAGTCTGCTGGAAATAAGCCTGCATTAATCAGAAGAGACGGAATAAAAGGGACCAAATAGGGTTTCTACATCTATTACTCCTGTAATCCTTCCCTGAACCCTTCCAGGGCATTTACGCTTAAGTCCCTCCTCTTTACCCATGGTAGCCCTGCCCTCAGTCCTTCCCTCACCTCGTCTTTGATGTAGCCATTGCTGGAAAGGATACATGGAACAATTACAGACCCAGGGGTTCCCCTGAAGCAGGATCTGATGGGTTCTTTCCATCCGTTGCAGGACTAGTGCATCCACAGAGAGCAGATCATTATTCCGCAGATCCAGATGGACAAGGGCTCCAAAGGCTAGGAACGCAGGCAGCTGCAGAATCTGAAGCTTATTGTTTTTCAGGAGCAGCGTGTGCAGGTTTCTCAAGCCCTGGAAAGCTTCTGGGTGAAGGTGGGAGATGTTACAGCTGTTCAGGTCCAGCAGATGAAGTGCCCAGAGGTTAGAGAAGACTGCTGGATAGAGCATGGGAATGATGTTGTTGGAGAGGTTTAGGGCACGCAGAGAAGGGAAGTGTATCAAGAAAGTCCCACTTCTGGGCATTGCCAAGGAGTTGAAGGAAAGGTCCAAGCTGGTGATGTTTCCAGGAAGGGAATCTGGAGTGTGTAGAAGGCTCTTTCCACTGCAGTCAGCCCATCCCTGAGAAAATATTGTCATCTATATGAGAGGGTTCTGCATCCCTGGTAGGATTCTCCAGTGAGACTCAAAAATTTCAAACGTAATTCATTACTTTAATTGTTTGTTGCAGAGTTTTACAGAAAAACAGAGAAAATTTTAGGAACATAGGAGCTACCAGAGCAGATCACACCAATGATCCTTTTAGTCCATTATTCAGTCTCTGACACAGGCCAGTACAATTAGATAAAGACCAGCATAGATTGGCTCACTGTGGGTCTATAATCACAACACAATTTACAGAGTGAGATTAACATGAGAAGAAAGGGGTGGTGGAGGAAGAAGCCCAGATACTGTAGATGGGGTAGGATGGGCAAAGTTGCTGGACATCCACTCCCGTTGTATTTATCATTCAGGATCATTTCCAAACCTGTGACCATCTAGCACTGGAATGTGTGTCCCCTCCTTCCTCCCCTTGGATTCCCAGACTCTGCCTCTGTCCAGTGTGTTCTTCAGTGTGTTCTTAATTCATTAAAGGGTCTCCAGCTTCCTGAGAAGTGGACTGCACTGCTTGATTGCTTGGACCATGTTTCTTACATGGGCTATTGCACTTCCAGTTCCCAGGTGAGAGCCCACCAGCAGACATCTGCCTGTGCAGAGTGAGTAAGCAAGCCAGAGTGGCTGACTTGTAGGAGGGCATCTATCTAACTATTTATGGAAGGGTTTTAAACCAACCTGGCTTAGAGGGGAATGAAAACAGCTATGTAAATATAAACCTATCTCTCAGAACTGGAAGGGATCCCGAAAAGTCATCAAGTCCAGCCCCCTGCCTTCACTAGCAGGACCAAGTACCAGTTTTGCCCCAGTTCCCTAAGTGGCCCCCTCAAGGACTGAACTCACAACCCTGGGTTTAGCAGGCCAATGCTCAAACCACTGAGCTATCCCTCCCCGCAATATATAATGCAAGGAAGAAAGGGGACGGTGATAGTAATTAATATAAAACAGAAGCTAGGAATGGTAGAAAAGAGGGGGCGGTGTTGGGGCAGGGACTTTGGGGAAGGGGTTGCAATGGGGGTGGGACAGGGGTGGAGCACTGACCAGCGCTGGGAAAAGTTGGCACCTATGGACAGGACAGATCACTTGGTAAACTGGGTGCAAGCAAACAATATGTATTTTAATATGGCTAAAGGTAAATGTTTCAATCTACGAACACAGAATATAGGCCATACTTACAAAATGGGTAGAGCCCTGCGTGGATACAAAATTTTTATCGCATCCAATCTGCAAACATGTCCTGTGGATATCCGCAGATTTGCAGGGCTCTAAAGATTGGGGACTGTATCCTGGGAAACTGATGTGGAAAAAGATTTGGGTATCATGGATAATCAGCTGAACATGAACCCCAGGGTGACACTGTGGCCAAAAGGGTTAATGTGATCCTTGGAAGCATAAATCTTGAGTAGGAGTAGAGGTTATTTTACTTCTGTATTTGGCCTTAGTGTGACTGTTGCTGGAATACTGTGTCTAGTTTTGGTGTCCACAAGTCAAAAAGGATGTTGATAAATTTGAAAGGGGTTCAAGCCACAAAAATGATTAAAGCAGTGGTCCCCAACCTTTTTCGTCTGGCGGGCGCCAAACGACGAGTCACGGAGGACCGTGGCAGTGGACGAGCAGCCGCCAAAATGCCGCCAACAAGCGGCAATGTCAATAGGCGTCGCCGCCGAGAAGCAGCGTCATCCAGAGGCATCGCCGCCGAAAATCGGTGGCATTTCGGCGGCAACGCCTCTGGATGACGCTGCTTTTTGGCAGCATTTCGGCGGATGCTCGTCCGCCGGCCAGTAGGCGGGCGCACTTAGACGCCCCGGTGGGCGCCATGGCGGCCGCGGGCACTGCATTGGGAACCCCTGGATTAAAGGATTAGAAAACATGTTTTATTGTGACAGACTCCAGGAGCTCCAACTATTAACCTTCTCTCTGTTAAGTTAAAGGGGTGACTTGAGTACCTACATGGAGAACAAATACTTGATAATGGGCTCTTTAAGCTAGCAGAGAAAACCATAACAGGATCCAATGGCTGGAAGTTGAAGCTAGACAAATTCAGACTGGAAATAAGGCAATGTTTAACGGTGAGAGTAATCAGACATTGGAACAGTTTACTCAGGGTCATGGTGGATTCTCCATCATTGCGATTTTTAAATCAAGATTGGATGATTTTCTAAAAGAGCTGCCCTAGGAATTATTGTGGGACAGTTCTGTGGCCTGTGCTATACAGGAGGCCAGACTAGATAATCACAATCACAGGTGCTGACTCCGTGGGTGCTCTGGGGCTGGAGCACCCACAGGGAAAAATTGGTGGGTGGTCTTCACCCACCAGCAGCTCCCCGCCCCGCTCCCCCAGCTCACCTCTGCCTCCTCCCCTGAGCGCACCGCCATGTCCTGCTTCTGCCCCCTCCCTCCCAGTGCTTGCGCCGCAAAACAGCTGTTTTGTGCGGCAAGCGCTGGGAGGAGGAGGAACATGGTGCGCTTGGGGAAAAGGTGGGGCTGGGGTGGGGATTTGGGGAGTGGTGCAATAGGGGCAGGGGAGTGCAAGCACCTACCGGCGCCAATGAAAGTTGGCGCCTGTGATCACAATGGTCCCTTCTGGCCTTGAAATCTATGAATGGCCATTTCTTTCTAAGAAATGCTCTAATCTCACTGTAAAGCAGGGGTCTCAAACTCCCGGCCTGCGGGCCATCTGCGGCCCAAGAACCTCCCCAGTGTGGCCCATGGGGCTCCAGCACGGGGCTCCTTCCCACACACCCCCTCCCCTTCCCACACACACCCTCAGCCCCCAAACTCCCTCCCAGAGCCTGCCCCCTCCCCCTTCCCACACACCCCCTCCCGCCCCCAAACTCCCTCCCAGAGCCTGCACCCCTCCCCCTGCAACTCCACCCACTGCCCCATCCCAGAGCCTGCACCAAGCACCCAAACTCCATCCCAGACCCCGCACCCCAGACCCCCTCCCCGAGCCCAACCTCTAACCCCTTCTGCACCCAAACTCCCTCCCAGAGCCTGCACTCTGAACCCTAATCCCCTACCCCAGATCTCCTCCCCCACCCAAACTCCCTCTGAGCCTTAGGCAGGTGGGGGGCGGAGTTTGGGGGGGCAGGTTCTGGGCAGCATGAGTGACATTATTGGCCCACTGGGAGGATTTGAGGACTGGCACTGGCCCTAAGGTAAATTGAGTTTGAGACCCCTGCTGTAAAGACTCCAAATGATGGAGAATCCATTACATCTCTTGGTAGCCCTTCCTGCCTACACATATGACTTTACACATTTCTGTATGGAGCTGCCTCTTGCTGCATGCAGAACCTACTCTAATCTCTCCTGGTCCCTTTGCAGTTTGGTCAGCTTTCTATGGTATTTTGTTGTTGTCTTGCATTCAATTGATTGGGCTGGACAGGACCTCCTGGGTCACTGAGCCCCTTTCCTGGGTGATTTTAGACTACCCTGAGCCCTGTGAAGAGTCCTCCATACCCACCTTACTGTCAATGCTGCAAGGATGTCCTGCTGCCGCAGGCCAGACACAGAGGAGGCTGCAGACACAAAGGTACCAGGCACATTCCATTTGGCTTCAGGAAACTGCACAACTGAAAAACAAGTCACAGGGAGGTTGTGGGGGACAGAAGTCTCCAGGCCCTGCCCCCACTGGAATGAAGGTGTGACATAGACCAGTGCTGGGAAGAGACCAGACTATTTCCTCCCCCAATCCTGTCCCAATCAGTGTCCACTGACTCCAGGCACTTCTGGTACAGCTGCCCTTTTTTTTTTTTTTTTTTTAATAAAATGCAAATAAAACATAACGTTGACAACTATAAACTACTACAGCCACTTAATAAAGCTCATGAGAGAGAGCTTGGTCCAGCAGGCTGAGCACAAGGGCAGAAGGCAGGGACGCCTGAGTTCTAATCCTGGCTCTGGGGCGGACTGCTGTGCAGTCTTGAGCAGCTCAATCTCTCTGCCTCAGTCTCTCCATCTGTAAAATGGAGATAAAACCCACTCATAAGAACATACGAATGGCCATACTGGGTCAGACCAAAGGTCCATCTAGCCCAGTATCCTGTCTACCGACGGTGACCAATGCCAGGTGCCCCAGAGGGAGTGAACCTAACAGGTAATGATCAAGTGATCTCTCTCCTGCCATCCATCACAGCTCTCTGCCTCTCACAGCTGTTGTGAGGATTAGCCAATGTCTGTACAATGCTTTGTAAACCTAAAGCACTGCATGAAAAAAATGGAAGCAGTGGAGATCATCGTATTGGACATCATCTGTCAGTGCCGACCATCTCTGAACCTCAATGGCTTTCTCATTACACTGCTGCTTGCTCTCAAAAGTTCTTTCTGCAATGACTTGATGTCCTGCTGGAGTGCAGGTCAGCTGCTCTTGGTCTGTGTTTACTGCCGGCTGTGCCAGCAGTGTTCTGCCTGTCCCAAGAACCGGAGAGCCCAGGGTCGTGGGGGAACCTGTTTGTCATTCTGCTCAGAGCATTGCTTGTATTGAAGCTTCTTGGCACACAGGCTTTTGTAACTATTTCAGGGTTAAATCTCTTTGGCTCACAAAGCTCATGGGATATAGGCGGTAAGATTTTTGTCCTTCTGTCCATAAGTGGGTGTCTGAACTCATGATCCTAAGAAAGCATTGAGAAGTGGATTGTGAGATCCAAATGATGCTAAGTACTAACCTCTTGCATCTGGAAGGACTGTGCATGAATTAGAGATGAGAGGTGGCCAGGGCATGTGTGGAAGGGCAGGTGATGAGGCAGGACAGAGATGAGGCAGGATATATCCAGGAGGGTTAGAAGGACGGAGAGCATTGGGAGATGCCCAGGGAGAGGAGTAAAAGGGCACGGGGCAGTACTGGGGTGGGAGATGGAGGAGGTAGTGCTGAGGGGAGAAGTGCCAGGGGGTAGGTAGAAAGGAAGGGGTAGATGGGCAAGGGACAGCACTGAAGGGGTGGGGCAGGAGTCAGTGCTGAGGGGGAGGGCCAGGGAGCAGCAAATGGGTGAAGAAGGGTCAGTGCTGAGGGGATGCTCAGGGGGCAGCACAGAGGGAGAGGGGCAGTGCTGAGGCAGGAGGGCAGCACATAGGGGGAGGGTCAGGGGAAGGTGTCAGTGCTGGGGGGAGGGGCAGGAGGGCAGCGCTGTGGGGGAAGGGCAGTGGAACAGGGCAGCTCTGATGGGGAGAGTCAGAGGAAGGAGTCAGTGCTGAGGGGAGTGGGGCAGTGCTGGGGGGTGGGGCAGGAGGGTAGCACTTAGGGAGTGGGGCAGGGGCTGCAAAGGGGGGCAGTGCTGAGGAGGGTAAGGGTCAGTGCTGAAGGGAGGAGGGTCGGGGCAGGACTAAGGGGGAGAGGTCAGTGCTGATGGGGGCAGCAAGGGCAGCACAGGGGGGAGGGGGCAGTGCTGAGTGGGGTGGGTCAGGGAAAGGGGGCAGAAAAGCGGAGGTCAGTGCAGAGCACGGTGGGGCAGGAGGGCAGTGCTGAGGAGTGGGTCAGGGGAACGGGGCAGCACTGAGCAGGGAGAGTCAGAGGAAGGAGTGGGTGCTGAGGGGGGAGGGTCAGGGAGCAGCACAGAGAGGGAGGGGCCATGCTCGGGGTGTGGCAGGAGGTCAGGGGGCAGTGCAGAAGGGGAGGGGTCAGTGCTGAGGAGGAATGGTCAGGGGGCAGTGCAGAGGGGGAGGGGAGGGGAAGGGAGAACAACTGGGGTCAGTGCTGAGGAGGGTAGGGCAGGGGTCAGTGCTGATGGGAGTAGCAGGGGGCAGCACAGGGGGAGGGGCAATGCTGGGGGGGTGGGGCAGTGCTGGGGAAGGGGCAGGAGGCAGGGGAAGGGGCAGGGGGCAGTATCGAGGGGGGGACAGCAATGTTGCTAAGTTCCAGGGTTCCCTGCAGGGTCAGGGTCTGTGGGGCTCCAGCCCCAGTCTCTACATGGTGAATTTCAGCTCTGACTGGGGGTGAACTGCACTCTGATTGGTGGCTCTTCCCAAGGAGGCGGACCAGTGCGTAAATCAACCAATCAGGACTGCTTTAGGAAGCAGTCAGAGCTGCCCTCACCCCACTCTGGAGTCCTCTAGTTCAGTGGTTCTCAATCAGGGATATGTGTTCCTCTGGGGTACATCCATAGGCGCTGAATCCGTAGGTGCTCCAGGGTTGGAGCACCCATGGGGAAAAATTGGTGGGTGCTCTGCACCCACCGGCAGCCAAGCTCCCCTCCCCATCCTGCCCCACCCCACCTCACCTCCTCCCCTGAGCGCACCGCGTCCCCGCTTTCCTTCCAGCACTTGCCGCCACAAAACAGCTGTTTCGCAGCATAACAAGCTCCGGGCAGGAGGGAGGGAGGAGGAGCTGGAACACGGCATGCTCAGGGGAGGAGGTGAGGCCGGGGTGGGGATTTGGGGAAGAGGTTGGAATAGGGGCAGGGAGAGGGCAGAGTTGGGGCGGGGACTTTGGGGAAGGGGTTGGAATGGGGGCAGGGCGGGGGGGCGAGGGCAGGGCAGGGGCAGAGTCGAGGCAGGGCCAGAGGGGGTCGAGCACCCACCAGCACCAGCAGAAGTCGGCACCTATGGGTACATCAACTCATCTAGATATTTACCTAGTTTTACAACACGCTACATAGAAAGCACTAGTGAAGTCAGTACAAACTAAAATTGCATGCAGACAATGACTAGTTTATACTGTCCTATAGACTATACACTGAAATGTAAGTACAATATTCATATTTCAATTGATTTATTTTATAAGTATATGGTAAAAAGAAGAAAGTAAGCAATTTGTCAGTAATAATGTGCTGTGACACTTGTATTTTTATGTCTGATTTTGTCAGCAAGTAGATTTTAAGTGAGGTAAAACTTGGGATATGCAAGACAAATCAGACTCCTGAAAGGGGTCCAGTAGTCTGGATAGGTCAGTGGCTCTCAAACTTTTGTACTGGTGACGCCTTTCACATAGCAAGCCTCTGAGTGCGACCCCCCCACTTATAAATTAAAAACACTTTTTATATATTTAACACCATTATAAATGCTGGAGGCAAGCAGGCTTTGGGGGGGAGGTTGACAGCTTGTGACCCCCCATGTAATAACCTCGTGACCCCCTGAGGGGTCCCGACCCCCAGTTTGAGAACCCCTGGGATAGGTTGAGAGCCACTGCTCTAGGCCATTCTCACAAGAGGGGAGCAGCCAGTAGGAGGAGCCCTGTAGCTAACCCCCCCCTGCTACCCCAGTGAACAAAGTCCAATCTCTGCTCCTCCCCTCCCTGCCACACCCAGACAGGGGTGGGCGGGTGAAGAGCCCTAGAGCTGCCTGCAGGAGCAGTGGGGCTAGACTCAGGTAGAACTGATGTTGGGACTGGGTAGTTGTGGGGGCAGAACAAATTGCTGGGGGTTCAGAATGAGTTGGGGGGGATGGGCAGATGTGGGGTGAGAGCTCCTGCTGCAGGGACCAAAATCCCCTGAATAAATTTGGCAGCATTGGCCGCAGTAATTCTCACACACATGCTGCGGGTGAGCAGGGGGAGTTCAACAGTCGAACGACAGATATGAACACAATACAAATGGAATTTGTTCTTAAGTTTCAGAATTTTGGGGTCCAAGCCCTTGTTTTTTGAACCTCTGGTGGGGAAGAGCTGAGGCAGGAGGTGCCCTGGGGTGTGTGTAGAAGAGAAGGGGGTGAGAAGAGTCTTGGATCTAGGGGACGGGCCTAGCTTGCATTGAAAGCTGGAGGAGGCTTCCCCTGGCGAGCTGCTTACAGAGCTAGGTTTGCAGATGTGGACTCTAAAATTGTGCCAGTCTGTGCAGACCACGGTGCTGTGGTTTCAGGCTGCATTTGCACCAGCAGAGCAGGTGATCACACTCCCCAATGTAGTTTGCACCCACACCTGGGAGCCTCAGCACAAGCAGAAATGTAGAGGCTTCTTTGTCACCGTGCCGGAAAACGGACCTGCTGGTACTGGCCAAGCACAGGTCACTGTCACCTCTACTACCAGAACAGATGCCTGTCACCTCCCCAGCAGAGAGAGCCCACAGACGCCATCAGCACAGGGGATCTGACCAGGAACCAGAAATGAGCTTTGTCCTTTTTCCTCCTCCTCCTCGTCCTCCTGCCTGACACCCCCACTCACCCCAAATGTTCCCTGCTAAGGGGAAGGCCAGGCAGTTACCTTAGGAGCTGAGCCTGGCCGCCTGCTGCCTCTTGCTTTCTTCTTGGGTCTGTGTATTGTGGGAGTGGAAGGTGGAGTCTCAGAAAATGGAGAGTGAATGTGAAAAGGTGAAAGGTAAATGGAGCTGGTTTAAAGATTAACTGTAATCAGCCTCTCCCCTGCCTTCTTGGCACTTAAAATCAGCACGCTTCCTGGCACACCCAGCGCTGGGGAGCAGGGCAGGTAACAGGGAGATAGGGCTGCAAAATTAATTCATGCTGGCTGCTGAGGACTCTGAATGCACTTTTCATCTTTAGATCTCAAAGTGCTTTACAAAGAAGGTAAATATCAATTGCCCTGTATCTTGTGCATCCCTGGGGGCTGGGTGAAACCTTGCAGAAGGTGGTGGGCGTAACAGCTGTCTTTCATTCAGGATAAATGTAAACACCAATTATAGACTAGATAGCTAAAACAATGGGAGCCACTGCCCAAAACACAGGCCACATGAAAGGTCAGTCAGGAATTTGAGCTATGCAGAGGGAGGGGTTTCACTGGGGTTGAATACAAATTGTTTTGCTGTGTGTGTGTCAGAAACACTACAGAAGTAGACAGAGAAGGCAGCAAAGAAGGCACAGAAACAACTAGAGAGAAGCATTTATAATGTGACCCTGAGAAAAGCTGAGAGAGCTTTCGGGCAGTATGCTGACTAGAAAGAGGCTTGAAATGATGAGCAAAGCAATTGCCTCCTGCTGTTTGACTCCTGCTGTGTTCAGAGAAACAGGACTCTGTATATTCCATGTAAATAAACAGGATTGCACCAAAGAAATACCCGAGTCCTTCTAATGGAAATAACCCACAAGGTCATGAATATTGGCTAACTGCTCAGGACAAAAGGAGAAACAATAGAACTGTATGTGTGTAATTTTGATAATGTGCACTTTGTGTGATAGTGCTGTAACTATACAATCGTGCATCTGTGTGTGTGTGTTTTGAAAAGTGTATGCTGTGTGGACCTGCTTGAGAGAATGGGATTGTGAGGGCCTCTGTTAATTAATAACTAGTAATTTGTTAATAATCAATAACCAGTTAATTGACAACAAATAATAAATATAATTTTACTGTGATTATATATTTAATGACAGGTTTCAGAGTAGCAGCCGTGTTAGTCTGTATCCGCAAAAAGAACAGGAGTACTTGTGGCACCTTAGAGACTAACAAATTTATTAGAGCATAAGCTTTTGTGGGCTACAACATCCGAAGAAGTGGGTTGTAGTCCACGAAAGCTTATGCTCTAATAAATTTGTTAGTCTCTAAGGTGCCACAAGTACTCCTGTTTTATATATTTAATGAGAGGCGTTCTCCCCTGCCCGGTTTAGTTTAGTTTAACAACAACAAACCTTGAGTAAGCCAGCTTTGGTTTGATTATTGATCAACAGTTAGTAGAAGCAGCACTTACACAAACAGGCATGCAGCTACCCACAGCTGTGGAAGGCCTGCCCTGTTAGTTGATCTGCAGCCAGCCTTTCGATGATATTACTTCCAATGTCTTAGGGTAATTATACCCTTTGTTGCCCTTATTTATTATTTTAATTTTTATCTGTTTCCTCCCCTTTTGCACATACTTCTTGTTTTAGGTTATTTCCTAACACATTTTGTGGAAAATGTTGCTAAAACATGTATAACAGCAGTTTTTACACCTTGCAGTCAAGATTACCAACATCTCTATATTAGCACTTTTAAAAAAATATATGCTGAAGGTTACTGTTAGTTTAAAGCGTGGAAAGGAATCCAGGACAGCTGGCTGTATTTTAAAGAATCCTTATTGAGGTTGCAGGAAAAACCATCCCAATGTGTAGAAAGAACAGTAAATATGGCAGGCGACCAGCTTGGCTTAACAGTGAAATCCTTGCTGACCTTAAACGCAAAAAAGAAGCTTACAAGAAGTGGAAGATTGGACAAATGACCAGGGAGGAGTATAAAAATATTGCTCAGGCATGCAGGAGTGAAATCAGGAAGGCCAAATCACACTTGGAGTTGCAACTAGCAAGTGATGTTAAGAGTAACAAGAAGGATTTCTTCAGGTATGTTAGCAACAAGAAGAAAGTCAAGGAAAGTGTCGGCCCCTTACTGAATGAGGGAGGCAACCTAGTAACAGAGGATGTGGAAAAAGCTAATGTAACTCAATGATTTTTTTGCCTCTGTATTCATGAACAAGGTCAGCTCCCAGACTGCTGCACTGGGCAGCACAGTATGGGGAGAAGGTGACCAGCCCTCTGTGGAGAAAGAAGTGGTTCGGGACTATTTAGAAAAACTGGACGAGCACAAGTCCATGGGGCCGGATGCGCTGCATCCGAGGGTGCTAAAGGAGTTGGCGGATGTGATTGCAGAGCCGTTGGCCATTATCTTTGAAAACTCATGGCGATCAGGGGAGGTCCCGGATGACTGGTAAAAGGCTAATGTAGTGCCCATCTTTAAAAAAAGGGAAGGAGGAGGATCCAGGGAACTACAGGCCAGTCAGCCTCACCTCAATCCCTGGAAAAATCATGGAGCAGGTCCTCAAGGAATCAATTCTGAAGCACTTAGAGGAGAGGAAAGTGATCAGGAACAGTCAGCATGGATTCACCAAGGGCAAGTCATGCCTGACTAACCTAATTGCCTTCTATGAGGAGATAACTGACTCTGTGGATGAGGGGAAAGCAGTGGATGTGTTATTCCTTGACTTTAGCAAAGCTTTTGATACAGTCTCCCACAGTATTCTTGCCAGCAAGTTAAAGAAGTATGGGCTGGATGAATGGACTATAAGGTGGATAGAAAGCTGGCTAGATTGTCGGGCTCAACGGGTAGTGATCAACGGCTCCATGTCTAGTTGGCAGCCGGTTTCAAGTGAAGTGCCCCAGGGGTCGGTCCTGGGGCCGGTTTTGTTCAATATCTTCATTAATGATCTGGAAGATGGCGTGGACTGCACTCTCAGCAAGTTTGCAGATGACACTAAACTGGGAGGAGTGGTAGATACGCTGGAGGGTAGGGATAGGATACAGAGGGACCTAGACAAATTAGAGGATTGGGCCAAAAGAAACCTGATGAGGTTCAACAAGGACAAGTGCAGAGTCCTGCACTTAGGACGGAAGAATCCCATGCACTGTTACAGACTATGGACCGAATGGCTAGGAAGCAGTTCTGCAGAAAAGGACTTAGGGGTTACAGTGGACGAGAACCTGGATATGAGTCAACAGTGTGCCCTTGTTGCCAAGAAGGCTAACGGCATTTTGGGCTGTATAAGTAGGGGCATTGCCAGCAGATCAAGGGACGTGATCATTCCCCTCTATTCGACATTGGTGAGGCCTCATCTGGAGTACTGTGTCCAGTTTTGGGCCCCACACTACAAGAAGGATGTGGAAAAATTGGAAAGAGTCCAGCAGAGGGCAACAAAAATGATTAGGGGGCTGGAACACATGACTTATGAGGAGAGGCTGAGGGAACTGGGATTGTTTAGTCTGCAGAAGAGAAGAATGAGGGGGAGATTTGATAGCTGCTTTCAACTACCTGAAAGGGGGTTCCAAAGAGGATGGATCTAGACTGTTCTCAGTGGTACCTGATGACAGAACAAGGAGTAATGGTCTCAAGTTGCAGTTGGGGAGGTTTAGGTTGGATATTAGGAAAAACTTTTTCACTAGGAGGGTGGCGAAGCACTGGAATGTGTTACCTAGGGAGGTGGTGGAATCTCCTTCCTTAGAGGTTTTTAAGGTCAGGCTTAACAAAGCCCTGGCTGGGATGATTTAGTTGGGAATTGGTCCTGCTTTGAGCAGAGGGTTGGACTAGATGACCTCCTGAGGTCCCTTCCAACCCTGATATTCTATGATTCTATGAATTTTACCAAGCTTTGTATTAACTGCAGAGCATCATGGGAGTCTTGCTCCCAGCAAAACTTACTATCTTTCTAAGCCTGCCCTAAGCATCAACAGTGCCTGACAGCGAAAAATGGGGCCTGGGGGTGTTTTTATTATGGGAGCATGTGTTTCTCTATAAAAACAACAAGGAGTCTGGTGGCACCTTAAAGACTGACAGATTTATTTGGGCATAAGCTTTCGTGGGTAAAAACCTCACTTCTTCAGATGCATAGAGTGAAAGTTACAGATGGAGGCATTATATACTGACACATGGAGAGAAGGGAGCTACTTCGCAAGTGGATAACCAGTGTTGACAGGGCCAATTCAATCAGGGTGGATGTAGTCCACTCCCAATAATAGATGAGGAGGTGTCAATTCCAGGAGAGGAAAAGCTGCTTCTGTAATGAGCCAGCCACTCCCGGTCCCTATTCAAGCCAAGATTAATGGTGTTAAATTTCTAAATGAATTTTAGTTCTGCTGTTTCTCTTTGAAGTCTGTTTCTGAAGTTTTTTTGTTCAATGATAGTGACTTTTAAATCTGTAATAGAATGACCAGGGAGATTGAAGTGTTCACTTACTGGCTTTTGTATGTTACCATTCCTGATGTCCGATTTGTGTCCATTTATTCTTTTGCGGAGGGACTGTCCGGTTTGGCCAATGTACATGGCAGAGGGGCATTGCTGGCACATGATGGCATATATAACATTAGTAGATGTGCAGGTGAATGAGCCCTTGATGGTGTGGCTGATGTGGTTGGGTCCTCTGATGGTGTCGCCAGAGTAGATATGGGGACAGAGTAGGCAACGAGGTTTGCTACAGGGATTGGTTCCTGGGTTGGTGTTTCTGTGGTGGGGTGTGTAGTTGCTGGTGAGGGATAGCTCAGTGGTTTGAGCATTGGCCTGCTAAACCCAGGGTTGTGAGTTCAATCCTTGAGGGGGCCACTTAGGGATCTGGGGCAAAATCAGTACTTGGTCCTGCTAGTGAAGGCAGGGGGCTGGACTCAATGACCTTTCAAGGTCCCTTCCAGTTCTAGGAGATAGGATAACTCCATTAATTTAGTTTAATGTACTTTGCTTCAGGTTGGGGGGTTGTCTGTAAGCGAGGACTGGCCTGCCTCCCAAGGTCTGTGAGAGTGAGGGATCATTTTCCAGGATAGGTTGTAGATCGTGGATAATGCGCTGGAGAGGTTTTAGCTGGGGGCTGTATGTGA